GCTGCTGGACCTTCAAGGTTCTTAGACCCTTGGTATTTGGGAAGATCCTCAGACATGATAGCATGTCCCGTTGATCCACCCCATGAGGGGTACCTGGTGGCCTCTTGCTTTCTCCAGCCTGTCCAGCTTGAAAGCATATGCAGGCCCATGCGCCCTGAATCCTCTAATGGCCTGCTCCAGGCTGGGCCTTCTTGTTTTTCTAAAGGAAACCTTGGAGCTTTAATTTTTTAGGTAAAGCCATTTTCTTTCTCTCATTCTTCCTTTCTCCCATTGGAGTGGCCACAGGGGAGACAGAGGAGGCTGGGAGAAGGGGCCAGCACCTCGTCAGACTCCTGGATGGCAGCCTTCAGCTGTCACCCTGGGCCTCACTCAGCTGCCTCACGCGGGATGCTCACCTTCCACACTGCCTGGCCGGCTTGTTTTCTTAAGAAAGCAGTAACGGCGGTGCATTCACTGTGGGTCTTTATGGCTTTCCACATGTGTAATCGCTTTCTCTCTCTTCGGTTTTTCCAACATTTTTTTTTCTTTTAAATAAATGCTCATAAATTTTACTGGTGAAAACGATAAAAAAATACTTAAAAAGAGCAATTTGTTGGAAAGAAAGTAGGGGGAAGGGGGCATGAAGCAGAATGTAGAGAAAAACCTTCCGCATTATGTACTTAATAGGAAAAAAAAACATTTCGATATTTAGGAAAAAGAGAAGATTCCTCTGTCACTTCTCAAACTCTTGCCTAAGGTTTGACTGAACTGGGATTTGGTGTACTTGAAACCCAGCCATCCTCTCCTGCCATCCTCTCCTGTGTCACGCTCAGAGGACCTGGTGGAGGCCCCGCAGGCTCGGGGAGAGCAGCCAGCTAGCACTAGCTTAGACCTCTGGCTTCCTCGATCTCTCAGCTGGTAGGAAACACGGGTTTTTTGTAAGTCTCAGGATCCAGAAGCCCCAGGGAATTGGTTTTAAACATCTGGAGAGCTCTATGGCCTTATGATTAACTAAAGCAAGAAACTGATTCTGAGGCCCCTTTGGATCATGGTTCCCTGACCTTCAGAGAAGCAGCTGTAGACTCTGTTGGCTGCCTTTCCAATTCCATTCTTCCCTTCCTCCTTATCCATAAAACTCCACTTTTACCCGAGGCAGCAATGTGCCCCAGAGTTGCTGTAGAGTGACTCCCTAGCTTTTCTTGCAACTAGGTGTGCATGACACAGTTCCAACCAATAAAATATAAATTTAAGCTAAGTGCAATGGTGCATGCTTGTCATCCTAGCACTCTGGGACACTGAGGCAGGAGGATCACCAGTTCAAGCCCAACCTGGGCAACTTAATGACTTAGCAAGACCCTGTCTCAAAATTTGGAAATTTAAGGGCTGAAGATGTAGTGAAAATGTCCTGGGTTCAATCTTCAGTACAGTCAAAAGATATATATAGAGATAGATAGTGTGAGTTCATGGACTAGACAACTCAGCTGGCTCATGGTTTTCTGTAGTTGTTATTGTTGTTTTGTTTTGTTTTTGTGACAGGGTCTCACTATGTAGTTAAGACTGACCTGGAACTCACTATGTAGCCCAGGCTGGTCTCGAGCTCACAGTGATTCTCCTGCCTCAGCCTTCCGAGTGCTGGGATTACAGGCGTGAGCCACCATGCCCGGCAAGCTGGCTCATAGTTTGCCTCTTGCTCCTCTTAACTGCCTGGAATGCAATCATTAAATGGAAGAGGAGCAGCTGTTTTGCAACTAAAAGGTCAAAATAATCATGTGTTATACAACGACCACTAACGAAGGTGGTCCCACAAGGAAATAATAGAACTGAAAACTTTCAGTCACCTAGTGATCCTGTACACCATAAAGTCATTGTAGTACAATGCATTATTCACATTATTGATGCTAGTGTAAACAAACCTACTACACTGCTAGTTGTATAAAAGTATAGCACAGGCAATTATGTATGGCATGTAGTACTTGATCATGACAGTAAATGACTACGTTACTGATTCTGCATTTCGCTGCTGTTTGAGAATGCACTACTATGTATAAAAAAGGATGTTTACTGTGGACATTGTGCTGTGTTGTGTCGGAAGTGGCCTCACACACCTGTGTCCACAGTCCCTCTGGATTGCATCATTTTCTCTGCTCTGCAGCTGTGTGCCCTTTGGCTCCCATCCTCTCACAGCCAGCAGTAGTCTACCTCATAGACCCGAGCCGAGGCAATGTGATGAGTCCCATTGCGTACTTGGAGACACCTCGGACACAGCAAATGCTAGGAAAGAGCTGTGTCTGGAGACACTCGGAAGCCCATTAGAGCCAAGCACTCCTGCCTCTAGGCCAGTGCTTCTCCACTTTGGCCTGAGAATCACCTAGCCCAATCCCACCAACAATTCTGGATCATTGCAGGGACAGAAACTCAAACCCATCCTGTAAACAAATCTCCACGGGGGCTGGGGATTTAGCTCAGTGGTTCTGCCACCTGCCGAGTTCAAGCCCCCGGTACCAAAACAAAACAAAACAAAAAAAAAAGTGACCTTCCTTCATTATAAGACTCAAAACAAGTCTCCACGGATGACTCTGAAGACAAGTCATCCACTGCTGCAGATGGCTCACAGTCCACACTTAGATGGGTGGTGACATAGTGGTTTTGGTGTAGAACAAATCCAGGCACAAATCTCCCTCAATTTCTACCTGTGTGGCTTTGTGTGGCTTTTGAAATATCTTGAGACCATGCTTTCTTTACCTGAAAAATAATATCAGTAATTACCCCCCCACACGAGAGTGAAATAAAAATGTTTGTGTAGAGGACATAAAAGTTATAATCAGACTCCTGTGTGCAAAAGTACAGCTCACTTTGTTTATCTATATCTTGTATTAACAGCCCATGACCTTGTGTTTCTGCTAAGAGCAGAAAAAGTTCAGATTGGAAATTCTAGCACCGCTCACTCAGATGACTTTTAGCTTTAAAAAAAAAAATTCTTTGAGGGAAATTTTCACCAGAATGGGGATTCTTCTGCAGATGATCCAGGTCCTCAGGGCTTCCACAGGCACAGCTGGTCCTAGGTATTCATGTCCACAGTGCCACACGGTGCTGGCCCCGGGACTTGGCCTTCTTGTCTCTACAGGAGGCCTCCCCCACTGCCAAGGCCCTGTGTCTTCGCTCAGCACTCTCAACAGCTGCACCACGTGCTGTGCCCGGCCACATGGCTGCCTTGAACATCTGTTGAGCCTCTCTCCTCAGCCATTTAATCCACTGTGTAGATACCATAGCGGATATGTGCCCTGCCTGGGGCTTGATCATCTCAGACCTCTTTCTTCTACCAGCCGGCCCAACAGCTTCTCTCTTTATAGGCTGAATGGAAAGAGGGCCCCTTCTTGCTTCATTCTGCTTTCTTCCCTCTCTCTGTGTCCTCCTGGCACTTGTAATGGTCATGCACAATCCTTTCTTACACACACACACACACACACACACACACACACACACGGCCTGGCTCTTGTAAACCAAAGCCTTCCTCTTGGGACTAGTGTTTCCTTCTCAGACTCACACAAACCCAGTCAGCTCTTCAGTTCGTGTCTTGCTTCTGGGAGGTGTCCGGCTCCCCTGAGGACACAGCAGGCAGACCCATCATTCCTGCTCCCCCACGCAGGGGAAAGCTGAGAAGGGGAGCAGGCACCTCCTTTCATTAGGAACTCAGAATAGCACCCCTTTCACTCTTTCTTTGTTTGTTTGATTTTTATTGGTACACTTTAGATTTGCATAATAATCACATTCATCAGAGGGAATCTGTACCTGTGCATAATACATAGTGATTTCTTTGTTCCCTCAATCCCCACCCCTCCCTTCAATCCTTCTTCTCTTCCTTATTTACAAAAGCTTTGTTTCTACCTATTCTCTTTTTTCTTTTCCCTTCCCTTCCTTTCTCCCTCTCCTTTCCCATGTTCCCCTTCTCATTTGAACGTTTACTTCCTATTTCCCAATATCTATTATATATTTTAGTCCTCATTTCCTCTTTGAGTTTCTCACACCAGAGAAACACTGTGATGTTTAAGCATGTGTGTCCTATTTATTTCACTTAAGAGTATGGTCTCAAGGTGCATCCATTTACCTAGAAATGTCTCAAGCTTATTCTTTATGGCAGAGTAGTACTCTGTTGTATAAAAAACATTACATCTTCTTTATCCATTCATCTGTTGATGGGCATTAGGTTCAACTATTACAAATTTGCTGCTATAAACATAGATATGCATATATCACTGTGATATGATGTGTTTGACTCTTTCAGGAAAATATCAAGAAGGGGAATAGCTAGGTAAAATGAAACTTCTAGTTTTAGTTTCTTGAAGAATCTCCACACTAATTTCCACAGTGGGTCTTTAAATTTGAGGGTTTGTGTGTGTGTATTTATATATTCTAGGAACAGCTGGCAACAATTTTTCCCACTCTGTGTGTTATCTCTTCGCTCTGTTGGTGATTTCTTTTGCTAGCACTGCTTTAACTCTTAGAGAGAACATGCCTGTTTACCTGTGGCCTTGCCTGGAGTGGGTACTCGATGGTCACAAACAGTGACTTGCTTATATTCAGTTCTCGGATTAGTGGGGTCCTCTGAGTGGACACCTCGAAATGTGCTGCTGTCACCTCTCCAGCATGGGAAATGAGGCAGGCAGAGGTGGGAGCTGTCTCTTTGGACCCACTCGCTCTCAAGGGTCCAGAAATGCCCCTACCAGGGATCTCCTGCAGAGTCATGTAAAATGTCAGGGCTGCTGGGTCAGTGTGTCTTTTAGTAGCTACCCAGGAGTGAGATATCTATTCTGGCCCTAAGAACCCCGAAATGGCAAGGCCTACAAGGCCTCTCATTTTCCCGAAGGTAGGAAAAGCGGGGAGTGAAGTGGGTCCCAGGCATGTCAAGCTGCCTCCGGGGATGCAGAGCAATCCTCTGTCCTCTCTTCAGGGCTGAGCCCACAAAGGTGGCAGCCAACACCAGAGGCAGGGGAGCCAGTTAAAATCTGTGTTTATTTCCCGGGCAAGGGTTCAGGGGGGGGATGCATAACCTGAGTCTTAGGAGGAGCCTGGGCCTTGGGAAGGAGGCAGGTTTCTCCTGCTCTGCCCTCAGCAGTGTTGCTAGTAGGGGTGATTCAGGGTGTGCTCCATAATGGTCCGCATCGCTACCCACGTCTCCTGGGTCGTGGGGATGATCTGTGTAGCGGGCAGCAGGAAGCCATAGCGCCCTGTGTCCCGGAGCTCGAAGGTAAAGGCATACTTGATGCCATTGTCATAGGCCCAGTCCACGGTGACTCCAGTGGCCACGTCTAGAAACAAAAGAGCCCCATAATCCCCCCAAAGGAAGGAGGCGATGGGATCGCAAGGCACAGAGTCATCACACGTGGAAGTGGACCTTGGGAGCCAAACCTCCAACCACCCCAGACCACGTCACACTTCTGGGCCGACTTTCATCCTGGGACACACCCTGCCCCCCCTTGCAGGGAGAAAGGCTGAGGCTCAGCATCCCCTCAGGGAACTCTGCCATGAGCCGGCCTTTGGGAGCTGTGCCTGACGCCACCAAGCAGCAGCTGCCTGGATGCCACCGTCCCCCCTGTTCTCCACGTGTGACAGGCAGCTTTGGCCCAGCCAGGCTAGGCCTGCGGCGCTGCTCTGTGATTGGTCAGACCACCAGTAAGCTCAGTCCACGCCTGCCTGACCCCAGGTAGATGCGGCATCTGGGGCAGTAGCCAGGGAGGCTCACTCACAGAGGGTGGTGCTGATGCTGCCAAAAAGGTACTTGATCCTGTGCACCTCGGACATAGCCCTCACTGCATCCTTGGCAAGGTTGTACTGCAAGACAACAGCAGAGAAGCAGCGGCGGCGGCTCAAAGTGGTTCCCACACTCCCTGCATCCTCAGCAGCTGGGGAGAAGCAGAAACTTGGTCCCTGAAGTTGATGGTGCAGACAGCTCTTCTGAGAAGGGAAGATAGCACCGCCAGCCTTGGGCTTGATCTCAGAGAAAAACAAGCTTCCCGTCCTTCCTAGTATGGGATCTAGTGGTCAGACCTTCATTTTGAGGAAAGTGTGAACCCTCTGGAAATGTGTCAGATGCAGATTTTCGCGGGAAGAGGTCTCCTTCCCAAGCTCTAAGCAGCCGGTCTTACCAGTTCCGTTTGGTCTGAAATAGGTTCCACACAGTGGCCATATGGGTACGTGAGCATCTGTGAGTAGCTGTGGATGGAGATGAGAGCCTTGAAGTTCCCGTGGCCTGTGATGAAGTCCACAATGGCGGCTACCTCTGGCTCTGACCGCGGCAAGGGTCCGTGGTAAGTCTCTGAGCAAGGGTTGCTATTGGAACCATTTCCTGGAAGTCAAATAAAACCACCCAGAGGGCTGAAATTCCTGGCTGTGGCAGGGAGTCCTCACAACATACCCACAAGTTCCCTGATATTTTCCAGCCTCCTTTGCAGTTTGGTTGAGGTCAAGTAACCAGTTCTGACCAATGAAAATGAGCAGAAATGATGTACTATTTAATCTAGGCTGAGTCTGTTTAGAGCAAGAATGACTCCACACTCTAATCAGTTTGTCTGGCTAGAAGCAAAATATTTTAGATAAAAGCAGCTTCCTGGGTCCCTCTGCCACCACTGGAAGAGAGCTGCAAAGGAGAGTCACTGCCTACATTGGATTTTGCATTTATGGAAAAAACCTTTCATTGTATTAAGCCATTGATTTTTAGAAGGGTATTTGTTGTGCACCTGAGTCTTATGAGATGCACAACCACACCAAGACCCAGCAGCAGCGAGACCCCTGGGCTTGTCCTTTGGGTACATCCTGGCTGGAGTTCCGCTGGAAAGGCAGGCTGCCTCAGAAGCTATATCCATAGGACACCCGAGGTCTCTGCCTCAATCCCTGCTTCCTTTACTGAGCAGCAGTGCCTTTAACTGACCCTTCTTGAGTTCACTGCTGAGAGCTCAGACTTGCTGTCATTCAAGCTTTGCCTCAGCCATGGCCACAGGAGCTCCATGGACTTGGGGGCCAGGAAAAGACAGAACACATCGCCATAGTTCCCTGAAGCTAGTCTGAGAACCACAAGTGCAAGAAGTCTTTGAAAATTCTTCTTGGGGCCTACATGGAGGAAAGGGCAAAGAAGAAGTGTACTTCTAGTTTGTAACAAGTTGAATCTGTTCCAGCGTCCTCTTCATCTCCTTTCCTGTTCCATTCTTCTTATGCTCCCTACCCCAAGAGCCATGTTGTGGAGAGCAGGGAAGGGCTGGTCAAGATTTGTGGGTTATGGACGCATGGGGAAGGAGCCATCTCAGCCCCTCTTCCCCCTCCTCCTCTCTGAAATAGCTGCACCTAAGCCCAGGTCAGAGGCTAGGGATCCTCTCAAGTTCTGAAGCCACCTGATGATGCCAGAGCACCCGCTTTTACCCCTGACCAGCAGACCAGCCTAGTGACCTGTTCAGATGAGGCTCAGCAATGCAGCAGACTGGTCCTCTCAAGAGAGCAGGAAAAGGCAGGCATGGTGCAAAGGACAATCTCTAAACTACTCCTGACACAGCAGTTAAGTCCGGGCAGTAATAAAGTCATAAACAAAATCTTCCCACCTTAGTCACCACCCTACAGGTCATCCTTCACTTGACAGCGCATCCGCTCTTGGTTGGCTATCCTTGCCTTTGCCATGGGGACCCTGATTAGAAGCCTGCCTAGGACAAGAGGGTGAGGGGCAGCCCCCAGGCTGGTATGGGCCTAGCTAACAGTGACCCTGTTTGTTGTATGTGCTCTGAGCTCCTGCACCTGCTACCCTTGGTGAATGACAAATAGCAACAGATGAGCTGAGCAGGGAGGCTGAGAGCTTTGTCTGCGCTTATAGCCCACGCACAAGAATGGTTCCCCTGCCAACGACCAGGTGGCTTTGCCCAAATATGGAGAAACACTTCAGGCCATTAGTTCTGGTTTGAGCTAAACAGAATAAACTAATCTTCCCCTAACCAAATGGGAATTAGCTGCCTGCCTCTCTGACGTTCACAGTCAAGGTCCTCTGAGCCTGCCTGTTTCACAAGTACCTGCTAATGGATTCATTAGCTATTTATTTTTCCTTCTCTAAAAATGTAATCTGTAGCAAAGGGAAATCTCTGGAAGGACATGGTAAATTATTAAAAGCAGTAATCTTTGGGTAGTGGGATTATGGAGCTTTTTGGCCCCCTTGGGCTTTTTTTTTTTTTTTTTTTTTTTTT